AGCCGCGTGCCCAGCATCGCTGCCGTGACGGTCCCTGTGAAAAGAATAACGCGTGCACGAGAGAAAGAGATGGGACGTCATATATCTATCTCCTTCTGTTACTCGTCGCCCGACGTTCAGAGCGCACACGTACACGGACGCATATACGGAGCTTTCCATTTCCATATGCTAGCGAACGGCCCACCTCTTTGGCCTATGAAATTGACCCGCGAGCAATCGTCCATTTTCTTCGCCGGCCGCGGCGAGCCGTATGTCCCGCCCGTCGCGTCGCGCGCTCTAATTTGTCCAACTAATTTTATTAATATCTCGAAATTTTACGTGGTTGTTTGAAAAATGACCTCTACAATTTTTGTTCAGTTTTATCTGTTCTACTTATATTTTTCTTTTGGCATGCCTTATGCGGGACACCCTGTATAGCGTCAATGCTGTCGAAGGGGTTAATGGAACAAAATCTATATCTATTAATTTTACAAATAGAAATATAAAGAAGTTACCGGTTAATATAAATGACACTATTCCGTACGGAAATAATGACAAATATCTAAGTATGACTTTAGATGTGAAACTGAGATGGAAGGAACATGTAAAAAAGAAAAAGAATGAACTAGTACTCAAACACAGACAGCTTTACTGGCTCTTGGGACGTAAGCCTAAATTATCGGTTCAAAACAAGAAATTGATATATAACCAGATTTTGAAACCTATCTGGATATACAGTATATAATTACGAGGTTATGCTAAACAGTGCCATATTAAAAAGATTCAAACTTTCCAAAATAAAGTTTTACGGAACATGATTAATGTCCCGTAGTATATACGAAGGCTGCAAGATAAGTACCCGTGTTTAATGACTGATGGCGTCACTGACTTAAAGTCTGTATACCATCGTTTAACGCCATCTTCCGAACGACGCCAGTCAAAATTTTAGACAGATTTATCGAATAGTTTTGTTTTGAAAGTGGACAAGTTTGTGTTTGTTTGCAACCATGGAAAAAGAGAAATGTCGGTCAGTGGTCAATTCCTTTTTTTGGATGGAAGACGTGTGAGAAAATCAAAATGAAGTTGCATGCCGTTTATAAGGACCATGCACCTTCGATGACTACCATCAGATATTGGTTCAATCAATTCAAGCGTGGCCGACCATCCGTTTTTTATGAAGAGCGTCCAAGTTGTCTGATTGAAGTGACTATTGAGGATATGGTCAACAAAATCCATGATATCGTGTTAGCAGACCGCAGTGAAGATCAGAGAAATTGCTGACATTGTAAATATCTCAGTTGAACGCGTACAAAATATCTTACACGAAAAATTAGGCATGAGAAAGCTATCGACTAGATGGATGCCGCGTTTGCTCACAGTGGAACAAAAACGAAATTGCATGACAACTTCGGAGCACTGTTTGGACATGTTTAAGCGCAATCTGAAAGAGTTTCTGCGGCGCTTCGTCACTGTTGACAAAACATGTATCAATCACTACACGCCAGAAACGAAAAAACAGTCAAAACAGTGGACTTCACCCGGCGAACCTGTTCCAAAGAAGGCAAAAACGGTTCCATCGGCCGGAAAGATCATGGTCACCGTTTTTTGGGATTTGCGAGACATCATTTTTACAGACTATTTGAAGAAGGAAGGAACAATCACGGGACAGTACTGTGCTGATTTATTGGGCCGATTCGACACTGAATTGAAGAAACGGCTCCATTTGGCGAAGAAAAAGGTACTCTTTCATCATGACAACGCACCAGCTCATTCGTCAGCAATCATCACAGCAAAACTGGTCGAATTACGCTACGAATTGCTATCTCATCTATCCTATTCTCTAGATTTGGCCCCCTGCGATTTCTATTTATTTCCAAACATGAAAAAATGACTTGGCGGAAAGCGGTTTACGTTAAACGAGGAAGTCATTGCCAAAACAGAGACCTATTTTGCGGAGTTCGACAAATCATATTTTTTGGATGGTATAAAAACGTTGGAATATCACTGGATTAAGTATCGAGCTGAAAGGAGAATATATTGAAAAATAAGTAAAGACACATTTTTAAAAATGCGTCTCCTTCCCTAACACGGGTACTTATCATACAGTCCTCGTACGTTATAAGGATCTGCATAGGGATCTTGGAATTGAAGACTTAGCAAGTGAAATAAAGAGATTCGTCATTAAACATGAGGTCCGTCTGCGTTAACATAATAATGTTGAGACCACACGTCTTCTTGATAGTGAGAACTTAAAAGGTTCAGAAGAACAAAGTCTTTCAAACTGATGAAAAAAGTCTTTTGAACTGATGAGAGTTCAAAATTAGCGATGAGATATTGTGTAAGACGCTGCCGGGCGTACTAAAAATTTTAAAAGTTTAATTTGCCTGATAAAAGAAATAAATTAATAGTTAGTTTTTAAGATTAGTTTTAATACGTATATACTATATATTATTTAAAAAAACTTATTTTGAAAAACTTGTATCGTTATGTGCATGTGTGCGTTCGCATACATACGTATTTGTGCGTACGTACGTACGTGCGTGCGTAGACTTTTAATTATAATAATTATATATTAAAATAATTATATTATTATATATTATTTAAATACATTTTTACAAACGAAATTTAGTTCTTGTGTATTCATTATATACTTTTCATAAGCTACTTCTGCAACAATGCATTCAGACTTTTCCTCATATATTGTTACAATGAAAGTTATTAAAATTTTTATTAAAATTATTAAAATTTCACATTCATCAGTGTTGCGAAATTATTCGGAGAACAACTTTTTATAGAATATTGTATATTCTCTTTAAATAGGATTTTGTTATTTACTAGTATAAGTTTAAAAAACTATTATTTATATTGTCATTCAAAATTTATCTAAATTTATATAAGATTATATAATTCATGGCTCGGAACAGTTTGCCAATTTCGGCCTATTCTCAGGAGTTACACTTTCTATCTTCTCCTTGCCGCACGGCGGAGCCCCGTGAAGTTAGCCCCCCAAAATTCGAAAAAATACAATTTCTATACCTAATTCGTTTGCTCATCGTTTGCACATGTTTGCACATCAAGAATTTTCATTTGCACACCTCTAGTTTCAAGGATATTGAAAAAACAATTTTGGGGGGACCAACTTCACAATAGCCCCCCAACATTCGAAAAAGTAAACTTTCTTTAGCTCAAACGATTGTACATTGTTTGCACATGTTTGCACATCCAGAGTTTTCGTTTGCACACATTTAATTTAAAAGAAATTTAAAAAACAATTTTGGGAAGGCTAACTTCACACTAGCCTCCCAAGTTGCTCAAACTTGACGCACAATGCATGTAATTAATAGATTCTCGTTTGCACATTTCGAAACAACTCGAATTTTCGTTTGCACACCTCTAGGAAAAAAGTTATTTGACATTAAACTTTGAGGAAGCCAAACTCACACTTGCCGAAATTTATAACTGCAAAATAAAATTGTTTGACGTATGATATCGTTAGATCTTTGTTTGCACATTTCGAAACAAGTTGAATTTTCGTTTGCACACCTCTAGAAAAAAAGTTATTTAACAGAATTTGGGGGGAGCTAATTTCACACTTGGCGAAACCTAAGTTAAAATTGCAGGAAAAATTGTCTGACGCATGATATCGTCAGATTTTCGTTTGCAAATTTCGAAACGTCGAGTTTTCGTTTGCACATCTCTAGAAAAAAAGTTATTTAACATTGAATTTTGGGGGAGCTAACTTCACACTTGGCGAAACCTAGATTAAAATTGCAGGAAAAAATTATCTGACGCATGATATCGTTAGATTTTAGTTTGCACATTTCGAAACAAGTCGAGTTTTCGTTTGCACACCTCTAGAAAAAAAGTTATTTAACATTGAATTTTGGGGGGCTAACTTCACACGTAGCGAAACCTAGGTTAAAATTGCAGGAGAAAATTGTCTAACGCATGATATCGTTAGATTTTCGTTTGCACATTTCGAAGTAAGTCGAGTTTGCGTTTGCACACCTCTAGAAAAAAAGTTATTTAACATTGAATTTTGGGGAGGGGCGAACTTCACACTTGGCGAAACCTAGGTTAAAATTGCAGGAAAAAATTGTCTGAAAATAAAAAAAATAACTTTTTTCTAGAGGTGTGCAAACGAAAACTCGACTTGTTTCGAAATGTGCAAACGAAAATCTAACGATATCATGCGTCAGACAATTTTTCCTGCAATTTTAACTTAGGTTTCGCCAAGTGTGAAATTAGCCCCCCCCCCAAATTCTGTTAAATAACTTTTTTTCTAGAGGTGTGCAAACGAAAATTCAACTTGTTTCGAAATGTGCAAACGAAGATCTAACGATATCATACGTCAAACAATTTTATTTTGCAGTTATAAATTTCGGCAAGTGTGAGTTAGGCCTCCTCAAAGTTTAATGTCAATAACTTTTTTCCTAGAGGTGTGCAAACGAAAATTCGAGTTTTTTCGAAATGTGCAAACGAAAATCTATTGATTACATGCATTGTGCGTCAAGTTTGAGCAACTTGAGGGGCTAGTGTGAAGTTAGTCCCCCAAAATTGTTTTTTAAATTTCTTTTAAACTAAATGTGTGCAAACGAAAACTCTTAATGTGCAAACATGTGCAAACGATGTGCAAACGAATTAGGTGTAGAAATTGTATTTTTTCGAATATTGGCTAGATTGGGGGACTAACTTCACGGGGCTACACGGCGGGCCTCGCAAGTGACGGTCGCGGCTAGTTGCGGCTCCAAGCTCAGAGGCACGACCGTCACTTGCAAGGTTCACCGCGCGGCAAGGGGGAGATAGAAGGTGTAGTTCCCGAGAATCAGCCGAAATTGGCAAACTGTTCTGAGTCCTGATATAATTTATAGCTAAAATTTTGAAACATGTAGATAAAGATCTTTAAAAACAGTTAATCTAAAAAATAGTCAATAAGTAACGAGATCATCTGTGTGTCGAAATGTATCGATTTTCGACATATCATATTATATATATATATATATATATAAATAGTAACTAACCTTAATAAGACCGAGACTGGAGTCGCTGCGATTCTCTAAACTACAAATGCTGAACTTCATATTAGGCAAATCAAGTCGGTGTGACAGTTGACGTTGAAAACTTTGATGTCTTATTGGTACAATTGGTAAAGTGGTTTGACGTAGCACCTAGCAAAATTAATATCAATATTGACGACACGTCCATACAAATTTTACAGGATGGTTCGCTAATTCAATTATACGAACGAAATATACCTTCTTATTTTCCTTTTGTTCTTGAACATATTCGTGAGTGATCGGTTCTGACTGGAGATCTGGAAGAGAATGACTGATACGAATCGCATTCTGTTGAGTCTGATCCATCTCGGAGTCCTCGATATTCTCGTGTCGTGACATGCCTATCAACCATCGCCATGTGGAAGAGCACTGGTAGCTTACCGCCGCCAATAAGATCAGACCGATTAATGCCACTCCTGCACCGATCAAAAGCTGATACGGTAAAGTTTCGCTCCATTCCTCTGTAAAACGGAACATTTATTAAGAAAAGTTAATGAGTAACTTCAAATTGAAATGTTAATAACAAATATAACAAATAAGTATTTGTTAAAAATATAATACATTTGTCAAGGTTACTATTTATATTAATTCATGTTATGTGATTTTACTTATTTCTCAAAACCTGTGAAAAATAATTTAAGTATTTGCGCAAAAGAATTAGACTCTACAGGCAGATCGTAAAGATTCGAGTAAAATATTCACTCACGCACATTTACATCACCAAAGAAACATTATACAGGGTGTTCGGAAAGTACCGGGACGCCCGAATATCAGGAAAAATATAAGTTTTACAAAAAAATGTTTCAGACAAAAGTTGTGGCGTTTAAAAAGATGTATTTACTGATCACATCAGTTTGACCTTGGGTTGCGTAGCGAAGGTCAGGTCAAGGTCACATTAATTTT